ATTTTTTTTTTATTTCGAGCTAAAACAAGTCAATTAAGAACGAACAAAGAGCTATTTTTTTTTGGCTAGTTAATAATTCAAGCTTAAAAAAAATGTTCGTATTCGGCTCGTTTACTTGACGAACGAGCCAAACACTAGTTAGTTATATTCTAAATCTATATAAAATAATTAATGTTTATTTTTTTATGTAATATTCTTAAATTTATTGATTATCAATTTATTTTAGTTTTAATTATTAATATTATTTATAATTTTTTTTATTATTCAATATTACAATTATTTTTTTATTTTATATTTAATCAATTTATTGTTAAGTATAGTGAAGGGGTGATGCATGTACATATGGTATATGAAGTTAGGCTCTAAATGAGTCAGGCTTGAGTGACCTCAGACTTGGCTTGTGTTTGGCTCGTTTCAAATTACTAAGTTCAAAATTAACTCGTGAACAATGTGTTTGTATTTGATTCAATTTAAATATTCTTGTTCGTGCTTGACTCTAAATTTGTTTGTTAAAATTAATTGGAAAAAATTAATGTAGAGTATTGGATTCAAATTAGGACTAAATCTATATAAAAGAATGCAGATAATCATATTATCACACAATCTGTTATGATTTAAACTTATATAGAGTATATTATTATATAAATAATTTATATAATATATTATTATATAAACAATTATATGATTTTTTTTTTTTGAGCTAAAACAAGTCAATTAAGAACGAACAAAGAGCTATTCTTTTTTGGGTGGTTAATAATTCAAGCTTAAAAAAAAATGTTCGTATTCGGCTTGTTTACTTAACGAACGAGCCAAACACTAGTTAGTTATATTCTAAATCTATATAAAATAATTAATGTTTATTTTTTTATGTAATATTCTTAAATTTATTGATTATCAATTTATTTTAGTTTTAATTATACACAAGGACCTGCCATCGTCAACCTAGAATCTTTATTTATTCTGATTGCTCAGTGGTGCTGTCAACTATAATCATCAATATTTCATTATAAAGGGGTATTTAGAGATGCGTGTGACATATTTGACATGGGTAGGATATGCCTACGATGATTATAATTAAAAAATAATAAAAAAAAATTTAGGGCATGTATGTTCAACGCTTTTTTTAAAAGTTACATTTAAATTTTATAAGTTGTAACAAATTGTTGATAAATAATTAATGTTTATTTTATTATGTAATATTCTAAAATTTATTGATTATCAATTTATTTTAGTTTTAATTATTAATATTATTTATAATTTTTTTATTATTCAATATTACAATTATTTTTTTATTTTATATTTAATCAATTTATTGTTAAGTATAGTGAAGGGGTGATGCATGTACATATGGTATATGAAGTTAGGGCTCTAAACGAGTCAGGCCTGAGCGACCTCAGACTTGGCTTGTGTTTGACTCGTTTCAAATTGCTAAGTTCAAAATTAACTCGTGAACAATGTGTTTGTATTTGATTCAATTTAAATATTCTTGTTCGTGCTTGACTCTAAATTTGTTTGTTAAAATTAATTGGAAAAAAATTAATGTAGAGTATTGGATTCAAATTAGGACTAAATCTATATAAAAGAATGCAGATAATCATATTATCACACAATCTGTTATGATTTAAACTTATATAGAGTATATTATTATATAAAAAATTTATATAATATATTATTATATAAATAATTATATCATTTTTTTTTTATTTCGAGCTAAAACAAGTCAATTAAGAACGAACAAAGAGCTATTTTTTTTTGGCTAGTTAATAATTCAAGCTTAAAAAAAATGTTCGTATTCGGCTCGTTTACTTGACGAACGAGCCAAACACTAGTTAGTTATATTCTAAATCTATATAAAATAATTAATGTTTATTTTTTTATGTAATATTCTTAAATTTATTGATTATCAATTTATTTTAGTTTTAATTATTAATATTATTTATAATTTTTTTTATTATTCAATATTACAATTATTTTTTTATTTTATATTTAATCAATTTATTGTTAAGTATAGTGAAGGGGTGATGCATGTACATATGGTATATGAAGTTAGGCTCTAAATGAGTCAGGCTTGAGTGACCTCAGACTCGTCCTCAGACTTTGTGTTTGGCTCGTTTCAAATTATTAAGTTCAAAATTAACTCGTGGACTATGTGTTTGTATTTGATTCAATTTAAATGTTCTTGTTCGTGCTTGACTCTAAATTTGTTTGTTAAAATTAATTGGAAAAAAATTAATGTAGAGTATTGGATTTAAATTAGGACTAAATCTATATAAAAGAATGCAGATAATCATATTATCACACAATCTGTTATGATTTAAACTTATATAGAGTATATTATTATATAAATAATTTATATAATATATTACTATATAAGCAATTATATGATTTTTTTTTTATTTCGAGCTAAAATGAACCGAATACGAGCGAACAAAGCGCTGTTCTTGTTTTGTTCTTTTATAATTCGATCTTTAAAAAATTGTACTTGTTCGACTTATTTACTTAAACAACGAGCAGAATACGAGCTACTTAATGAGCCGAACACGAACTACAAGTTTTTTTGACAACCCTACACCCCAATATAGTAATTGATTGTGACAAAATGTTGACAGGTAGAATCTCCTCACATGTTTAATAAACAAAAAGATTCAATTGAATTGTACTTTATCGAGTCATCGTGTTTGGTCACAAAAATAGAGTTGTATGTCAAACCGGACACTGTTGGCCTGCCTGCCTTTAAAAAACCATAAAATTATGATTTGAGGATCAAGACGATGAAATCTGATTATTTCCAATCCAGAGCCGGGGCGAAGCATTGGTGATGCGTTATAGTTTACTATTTCTAGTTAAAAAAATGAAGTTGCACGTACAAAATTGGCATTATTGACCCATCCAACCTTTTTCTAGCCCTGTAGCCATGCAAAGAAAAATTAAAAAAATCATAAAAATCATGATTTAAGGGTTGAGCTGATGAAATCTCCCTAATTTTTAAGCGGGCGCTACGACATACTACCAATGGTAAGCTGTAGTTCACCATTTAGGGAATGTCGGGGCGAGCACGGACAATTAATTATAATTCATCATTCTAGTAAAATTGTTCGTATTCGGCTCGTTCACTTAACGAACGAGCCAAACACTAGTTAGTTAACAAATTATTCTTATTCGGCTCGTTTACTTAACGAACGAGCCAAACACTAGTTAGTTAACAAGTCGAACATGAGATGTTTGCGAACAAACTCTTTTGACCGTCGTATATGAAGAGCTATCCAATTAATTAATAGATGGGATAAAATTACATCCTCTTAAAGGATCTCTCTTACAAAATTAGAATTGGTGTAATCACTGGTCATGTTTAGGTCTCTCAAATAACAAGCATGTATCAATATTGTATCTCAGAATCTAAAAATTTATTGAACTAACCTACATATGATAACTTTGGACTTGAGAAAATCATAACATACATGAAAGAACCTAAAGCACTGAAATATAAAATTTGGTTAGCCAATCTCATCATTTGATTATGGAGAGAATAAATACAAGTTTAAAATGAGTTGTTTACAAAGTACTAAATTATCTGACATTATATATATTAAATACATAGAAAAATTTCTCAATGCATCTTTTTTTAGGCACGATATACTAGCTTATTTTATTTCTCAAAATCTTTAGGTTAAGCATCTTTCTTGCTGAATTTAAATTTTTTATCTCAAACTTCTTGCTGAGGTGGGCTTTGACCTCTCTCATCTTACTGTTAACATTTTGTGTTTATCCAAATAAGCAGCTTATCCTGAAACGTGGCCCGCGGGTGACTCGTGGAGTTCAACCCGCGATACTGAGGTGGGCTTTGACCTTTCTCATCTTACTGTTAACACTTTGTGTTTATCCAGATAAGCAGCTTATCCTGAAACATGGCCCACTGGAGGCCGATCTGCATTTAGTATTAAAACTCAATTGCGTTTTCGGATAAGCTACTGAAACGTGTTTTCCGAACAGTGAGGCGATGTTGCACTTACAAGCTGCCCCAAACGGGCCCTTATTCTTGACAACTATTAATATATCATCAACATATAGCATTAGGTATACAAATTAACCATTGTCAATTCTTTCAAAGTATAAACAAATTTATAATTACTTCTTTTGAAATCATGAGTAATCATAAAAAAGTGAAACCTCTTGTGCCATTGTTTGAGAGAGAATTATAGGTCAAAATGAGGTTTTCTCAACAAACACGTATCTTCCTTTCCAAAGGCTATAAAACCCTTTGACTACTATATGTAGATGTTCAACTCAAGTTATCCATAAAAGAACATTATCTTCACATCTAGTTTTTAAAACAAAAAATCATGCACAATCATAATACCAAGCAAAGAT